AATGGGAATATAATTACCTATTATTCTTGGATGAAAAAAGCTGTGTGCACATGAAAAAATAATAGAAATTCACATGGGAATTCAAATTTTACTCACATGGGGCCAACCCCATGTGAATTAAAATATTGGAAAAAAACCCCACACCCCCACCCTGCCGTGTGTGTTTTGATAGGTACAGGAATTTGAATTCCTAATTACTGTACGTGTAGCATGTCTGATGTCTCTTCTTGGATTCAATTGGACCATAAATCATAGGAGAGAGAGAGATTTTTAAATTTCTCTCTTTTTAAATTAATTTTAAGACTCGTTCGCACTTTTTTAAAAAAAGGGATTATGGGCTTAATATTATTTTATTGGACAATTTGTAATTGAAAAATGAATTTTTAGAAAAATGAGGCTCAAACAACCGCTTAATGATCTAATTGAACTAAAATTGTCATAAGTAATATTAATTAATAATAACGTTAAATGTCCATTCTTTGATGTACATTGTTTTTGACATCACCCATGTTTTAAAAAATTGTGCATGAGAAAAATGTTTTTTTTTTAAAAACTATTCATTGATGTACTGTCACGCAACACAATATAAACTATGATATAAAAAATGATGTAAACGTAACATGATTGATTAATTAATGGAACCATCTAATAAGGTCGGTAGCAAAAGTGAAGGTGAGTTCATCTGCTACAGCGATTGATTTTCTAAACAAACGTAACGCCTCTGATTGATGGTCATTATTTTGAAAAAAAAAAGATATTTTGAATAGTGATTTTTTGAAGAAAATATGATTAAAAAGTAGAAAAAAATTTGAATTTACGTGCAAAATATTTTATTGACTAAATGTATAATTTGAAAATAAGTATAAAAAGTAAAGCCATGTTTGAGCCAAATTATTGTAGAATGAGAATGAAAAATATAGTCGTTATTGGGGCCCACATAAGAGATAGAAAATTTGAATTTAAATATATATATATATATATATTTTGATATCCAGGTATCCTAACTTATACTAGACTATGTCCTGGACCACCCATCCCCGGCCCCTCAGTGATGGGCGGATGTTACCCGCGGGATATGCCCAAGTTGACCAGGGTCTGTGCACC